AAAATCAAAAGCCACTTTTCATTGATTCCAATTGATTTAGACTAGCAATTCGCTAAAAACTAACAAATCTGAAGTTATCATGAAATGAAAAACCACTTTCCATTGGCTCGATTCCTATTGAATTAGACGAGCAATTCGCCAAAACAAACAAACCCAAAGTTATCATGAAATCAGTAGCCACTTTTCATTGGCTGATTCCAATCGATTTAGACTAGCAACTCACCAAAAGTGAACAAAATCGAAGTTATCATGAAATGAAAACCACTTTTCATTGGCTCGATTCCAATCAAATTAGACTAGCAATTCGTCGAAAACGAACAAACCTGAAATTATCATGAAATCAAAAACCACTTTTCGTTGGCTCAATTGCATTCACATTAGACGAGCAATTCGCTAAAAATGAACAAACCCGAAGTTATCATGAAATCAAAAACAACTTTTCATTAGCTGGATTCCAATCGAATTAGACTACCAATTCGCCAAAACAAACAAACCCGAAGATATTGTGAAATGAAAAGCCACATTTCATTGGCTCGATTCCAATCGATTTAGACAAGCAATTCGCCAAAAACAAACAAACCCGAAGATATCATCAAATGAAAAGCCACTTTTTATTGGCTCGATTCCAATCGATTAAGACTATTAATTCGCCAAAAATGAAGTTATCATGAATTGAAAACCACTTTTCGTTGGCTCGATTCCAATCAAGCTTGACTAGAAATTCGTCGAAAATGAACAAACCCGAAGTTATCATGAAATCAAAAACCAATTTTCATTGAATCGATTCCATTCAAATTAGACTAGATATTCGCCAAAACGAACAAACTCGAAGATATCGTGAAATGGAAAGCACTTTTCATTGGCTTGATTCCAATCGATTTAAACAAGCAATTCGCCAAAAACGAACAAACCCGAAGATATCATCAAATGAAAAACCACTTTTCATTGGCTCGATTCCAATCGATTTAGACTAGCAATTCGTGAAAAATGAACAAACTCGAAGTTATCGTGAAACGAAAAACCACTTTTCATTGGCTCGATTTTAATCGAATTAGACTAGTAAATCGCCAAAAATGAACAAACCCAAAGTTATCATGAAATGAAAAAACTCCTTTCATTGGCTCGATTCCAATCGAATTAGATTAGTAATTCGCCAAAAAAACCCCGAAGTTATCATGAAATCAAAAACTACTTTTCATTGGCTCGATTCCAATCGAATTAGACAAGCAATTCGCCAAAAATGAACAAAGCCAAAGTTATCATGAAATCAAAAACTACTTTTCATTGGCTTGATTCCAATCGAATTAGACTAGCAATTCGCCAAAACGAACAAACCCGAAGTTATCATGAAATCAAAAGCAACTTTTCATTGGCTCGATTCCAATCAATTTAGACTAGCAATTCGTAAAAAATGAACAAACCCGAAGTTATCATGGAATAAAAACCTAGTTTCATTAGCTCGATTCCAGTCGAATTAGACTACCAATTCGCCAAAACAAACAAACCCAAAGAAATCATGAAATCAAAAGCCACTTTTCTTTGGCTCGATTCCAACCTATTTGGACTAGCAATTCGCCAAAAACTAACAAATCCAAAGTTATCTTGAAATGAAAAACCACTTTTCAATGGCTCGATTCCTGTCGAATTAGACGAGCAATTCGCCAAAATGAAAAAACCCGAAGTTATCATGAAATCAGTAGCCACTTTTCATTGGCTCGATTCCAGTCGATTTAGACTAGCAATTCGCCAAAAGCGTACGAAATCGAAGTTGTCATGAAATGAAAACCACTTTTCATTGGCTCGATTCCAATCGAATTAGACTAGCAATTCGTCGAAAATGAACAAACCCAAAATTATCATGAAATCAAAAACCACTTTTCGTTGGCTCAATTCCTTTCAAATTAGACTAGCAATTCGCCAAAAATGAACAAACCCGAAGTTATCATGAAATCAAAAACCACTTTTCATTGGCTCGATTCCAATCGAAATGGACTAACGATTCGCTAAAACGAACAAACCCGAAGTTATCATGAAATCAAAAGCCACTTTTCATCAGCTCGATTCAAATCGATTTAGACTAGCAATTCACCAAAAATGAACAAACCCAAAGTTATTATGAAATGAAAACAACTTTTCATTGGCTCAATTCCAATCGAATTAGACTAGCAAATGGTCAAAAATGAACAAACTGGAAGTTATCAAGAAATCAAAAATGCCTTTTCGATGGCTCAATTCCAGTGAAATTAGACTAGCAATTCGCCAAAAATGAAGAAACCGAAAGTTAACTTGAAATCAAAAACCACTTTTCATTAGCTTGATTCCAATTGAATCAGACTAGCAATTCATCAAAACTGAACAAGCCCAAAGTTAAAATGAAATCAAAAACCACTTTTCATTGGCTCAATTCCAATCTAATTAGACTAGCAATTTGGAAAAAATGAACAAACCCGAAGTTATCATGAAATCAGAAACCACTTTTCATTGGCTCGATTCCAATCGAATTAGACTAGCAATTCGTCAAAACGAACAAAGCCAAAGTTATCATGAAATCAAAAGTAACTTTTCATTGGCTCGATTCCAATCGATTTAAACTAGCAATTCACCAAAAAGAACAAACCCAAAGTTATCATGGAACGTAAGCCACTTTTCATTGGCTCGATTACAATCGAATTATATTGGCAATTTGTCGAAAACGAACAAATCCAAAGTTATCATGAAATCAAAAACCACTTTTCATTGGCTAGATTCCAATTGAATTAGACTACCAATTCACTAAAATGAACAAACCCAAAGATATCATGAAATCAAAAGCCACTTTTCACTGGCTCGATTCCAATCGATTTGGACTAGCAATTTTCCAAAAACGAAAAAACTTGAAGACATCATCAAATGAAAAACCACTTTTCTTTAGCTCGATTCCAATTGATTTATACTAGCAATTCGCCAAAAAATGAACAAATCCGATGTTATCATCCAATGAAAAACACTTTCATTGGCTCGATTCCAATCGATTTAGACTAGCAATTCGCTAAAAATGAATCTGATGTTATCATGAAATGAAAAACCACTTTTCATTGGCTCGATTCCTATCAAATTAGATGAGCTATTCGCCAAAATGAACAAACCCGAAGTTATCATGAAATCAGTAGCCACTTTTCATTGGCTTGATTCCAATCAATTAAGACTAGCAATTCACCAAAAACGAACAAAATCGAAATTATCATGAAAAGAAAACCACTTTTCAGTAGCTCGATTCCAATCGAATTAGACTAGCAATTCGTCAAAAATGAACAAACCCAAAATTATCATGAAATCAAAAACCACTTTTCGTTGGCTCAATTCCTTTCAAATTAGACTAGCAATTCGCCAAAAATGAACAAACCCGAAGTTATCATGAAATCAAAAACCACTTTTCATTGGCTCGATTCCAATCGAAAT